GAACCAGAGGTCACAAGACAATATAAATTACATAATCGGACTCAGCATTAAATGAACTTTCATATCCAACCAAAACATCACGATTGCCAGCTTAGCAAGATCCTGACAGTCTTCTTTATATTATAAACTTTAAAATGAGAAGATTGTAAACTAGTGTTGTGAGCCATGAATTAATGTTTCAACACTAGTTAGCACTTTAAGCACAGATTGGCACTCATAACACTTGATGATAAATGCACAATAATTGTTGATGGTAACTTTAAGGTGGTGTATCAAGTATGCCCGATGGGAGGTGTGTCCATAGGTTGTGTTATGGACTATGATAGGGGTGGGAAGTATAGTTCCGGTGAATGTGTGTGCAGTCAGTACAGTATAGTGAGAATGTAGATAATGGGAGAGTATTTAAAAAACACCACTAAAACCAGTCTGACAAAATGATTTAGTAAATCAGGTGTCTGAACCATAATGGCAAACTTATAGCTACAAGTTAGGGATAATAAAATGACCAAGTAATCCCTTAAATTAAGCATTCAAAAATAATACTCATTGATTAAATGCCCCTTTAATATATATATAATGAGTGACCATATAAAATAATGACCTGATTAATTAACATATTTTATGAAAAATGAATTTTTATTTAATTAATCAGGGTATTTACTGAAACAGGTGACTATATCATACGTTCAAATGATTTGTAAATAAAAACAAAAACAGTTAATATAATATAAATTAATTTTTTTGTATTGGTTTGTATAATATAGTTAATATTTAATAAAGGTTAACTGAAGTTAATCAAAACAATATGTATAAATCTGTAATTTAAAATAGAGTAATTATAATATTTATATTATTAATGTGATTTCTAATTTAGTGAATGTATTTATATTATTAAGGATTTAATAAATGTAATTAAAATGAATACCGAAGCTATACAAGAATTATTAGATAATAATAACATTTTAGTTGAAAGTGATTCTGGTGTTTATTGTAATGCATGCAATATAACAATAAAGAAAAAAGTTAATAATATTAAAACCCATTTACAAACTGAAAAACATACCAGTAATTATATACTGTATAATAAAGTCAAGGACCAGGTTAATTATTTAAATATATTTTAATCAATAAATAAATACCTTAGTCCTTATCTTGACAAGTCCTTTATATTTTAATATAAAGTAAAAATTTATTTAATCTTGGTGTTTTAAAATTAATAAGCGCTCAATCGTAAACTTTATGGTAGGTGTATTGGATGGAACATTACCTAAATCTATGCTATATTATTGCTGTGAATTAGAGGGACCTCCTAATTATTATAATATGACAACAGAATTTGAAAATTTTTATTGTATTACTCAAGGATATTTCTAAAAAATGATGATTAGATTAGTCTTTACAATATTTATGTATTTAATATTAAATAAAATAAAATAAACAATATCTAATCACGATTATTTAAGTGATGTTAATTTCAATCAAAGCATGCAACCCATTAGCTTTCTACAGTAATATTATTTATTTAGATACCATAATCAAAATGTACATCAATAATTTTTTAATAATGTTTATAAATAAAATAAAATGCACTAAAAATCAACGCTTTTCATAGGTAAGAAATATTATGTCGTATTATTGAAAGCATTGATTAGGTTATGTATACAGTTTGCAGTACAAAATAAATGTCCTTTAGCATTATAGCCACCAATTGATAAAAATGAATTGAATAATATGCAATACTTAAACCAAAATAGTTTATTATTTTTGAATTTCTTTTTAAATGTGTTTTTAAATTATGATTTATGTTGCAAATAAATAAGCACCTTAAGTTATGTAAGGTTTAAATGTTTATGGAATTTTAATTTTATTAATTTGTTAACTAGCAGGAATTTAAATCGAGTACTTATCAGGGTCACCTTGGATGGTGTATGTAATCATTATATTCCTTGAGTCATAAGTAATTGCACAAAATCTGATTGTTTATGGCGCGCTTAAGACTTAATTGTTGGGATCAGTCTATGGGTCCATTTGTAGGCTATTTATCACTTGAATATCTTTTTATTTAATGTACATTATTATCCTTAATAAAATTATAGCATCTAGAGCATATACCTCTCCTAAAATGGTTGTGTAAAGAATTTCGTATGTCTCATACTTTAAATTAAAATTTTTTTCTTAATTTATTCACATAGAGATTTTCTGTTATGACTTTGAATTTAATTTTTGAAAAAGTTATTTGATTTAATGTATTGAAAACACCACCAAACTGTAGCTTATTTATCAGACATTCATATGATATGTTATTTGGTTCTGAAAAACCCACTATAAATAAAAATATCTCATTTGTGACCACTGGTGACAAGTGACCACTTTTTCATTATTAGAAAACTCAATGCAATTTTACAATGGGTTTCAATTATCTATAGTTATAGTGTATTTTTCAGATTCAAATAACATGTCAAATGAATGTCTAATAAATAAGCTACAGTTTGGTGGTGTTTTCAATGCATTAGATCAAATAACCTTTTCAAAAATTAAATTCAAAGTCTTATGACTATGTTATCATAGTTATGTGTCTGTTATCAGAAAATGTTGCCTCATAGATATTTCTTCAACTTTGCACTACTATTTTAGGAGAGGTATGTGCTCTAGGTCCTATAATTTTATTAAGGATAATAATGTACATTAAATAAAAAGATATTCAAAATCAGTGATAAATAGCCTACAAATGGAACCATAGACTGATCCCAACAATTAAGTCTTAAGCGCGCCATAAACAATCAGATTTTGTGCAATTACTTATGACTCAAGGATTATTATATTGTAATCTAAGTCTGTAATCATAGAGCCTATACAAAACATATAGCTTTTCAATTCTCATATAAAACTTTTACGGGGATACAAAACTTTATTGTATACAATGTCTGTATTTTATAATTTTAAATTAATTATATTTTGAATACTACCTGTATTTTATTTTAAGATAATTATTGTATTATTAAGGAATATTTCTAAAAAATGATGATTAGATTTGTAATTAAAATATTTATATAAATATAATTTTTAAATAATGTTCATAAATGAATTTGCACTAAAAATAAACTGTTAATTAAATAGAATGAATTGGATAAAATGCAACCCTTGAACCAAAATTGATTTTTATTTTTGAATTTCTTTTAAAATTATAAGATATTTTGCAAATAAATAAGCATCTTAAGTTGTGTAAGGTTTAAGTATTCATGGAATTTTAATTTTATTAATTTGTTAACTAATAAATAAGTGTGAATTCATTCAGACCGAAAACAAGATATTAACAGTATCCATATTATATTCTTTATAGAATTAAACATTTTAAATTGTTATTTTAAATTAATTAATCAGTCTTAATGATTATATAGATAAAGAATAATTTTATTTAGTGTGGTTAATCATTTCAATTAGTAATTAGTTATAATTAAGAAGTTTATAAATGTTTATTATTTTTAAATACTCAACAAAATATTCACTTAGGTCTGTTTTGCATGCAAAAGATTATAATATTCAATTATGCAATTTATTTACTTTATTAATACTAAAGAAAAATTGATAGAAAAATAAAGTTTATAATGATTAAAGGTATTTTAAATATTACATAATCATTTGTCAAGAATTCTAAAGTTTATGAGCTATAACTGTATATTATCAAGGTATATATAAATTTAAAGTCAATTAAAGTTGTTTTCATAATAAGGCATCTTAAAATAGCAATATTTCAAATCATATCAAATCATAACAAAATATGTGCGAATATAAATTTGTAAAAAAATTAAGAATTAAATTTATGAGGATTAAAATAAATATTCTTGCTAGTTGTTTGTCGTATTTCTGTGACAGGTTCGTTTTTTGCATCAACACAAGGTTCATTTTGTAGTCGTAAATTTGCCTTGATATTTACAAAATGCATAAATTATATAGAAATTAATATTACATAAAATTAATCATACCATATTAACAAGCTCAGTTAGATGAATATACCATGAGTACTGCGCGATTGTATAACTAAATGCCAGGCCAAATTCAGTAATGCCTATTTTTGTTTTCCCGTCTTTTCTCGTTATCACCCTGTACTTTGTCTCTAAACCTTGTGAAATATATAACAATGATATTTGCAAAAATATATTCATAAATTTTAATCTTATTTGTACACTACCTTCCGTACAAGAATAGATGACATATGTGAGCTTGTTGAATTTTAACCAATCTTTCTGAACAGAAGTCAAAGGGGTAACCTCGGGAGAGGCTAAAATGTTGCATGTAGAACCAGTATTCGTTTCTATATTAACAACATAATTATTACTTGAGTGGATATAAAATGTTATCTAAAGTGACATGACAAAAATTACTTTAATCTAGATTTCAAACTTACTATGTCGGCAACAGTTGAAAATAAAAATCTTCGGTTTATTTCGGAGCGATGGACATTTTAATTCGGAAAATATCTCTGTAATTTTATTAATGGATATTAGCTCGCTAGATTCGCCACCAAATCCCCGTATTTTCTCATTGAACCCGTGGCCGATGAACATGAATAAAAAGGCGTCCCCCTCGTGACTTTCACCCGCCACCTTTTTTAAAGTTTTGCAAATATCTTGACAATTACCAGAGTTGTATATAACAACCTGAAAAAGCATCTGGGTCCAAATGGAGGTCCAAAGGTTTACCTCGTACTCGAGTTCGGTTTCGGTGACCATGATGATAGCGCGACCACGTGGCTTTGAGTCCATTTTATAGAAAATACTTTTCTCCGACCTCATTGTCACGGCTGGCTCAACTTTTAATGTATCTAGCTCGTAGTCATACTCCCAGCGGGGCTCTGTGCGAACGAATTCGCGCAGCTTTGCAGCTGCCATGCCTTGATTGACCTCGTCTAACGTGGACGCTAGCGAATCATAATGATCTCGCTCACTCGGCAATAGTAAAAACAACTGCCTCTTGATAATTTCATTGTCAGTTTGTTTCTGAATAAAATATAAAATTATTAACTTTACGTTATCTACAGTATACAGTATAGACCATTGAGTTCCAAAAGTTAAAATCACTTAAAAATAGGGATGATAAACAAATAGTCTAATCACCTATACTTGATAAACTTATAAATTAGTTATTTATGTCACAATAAACTTAATTGACATTTAAAATTACGGTACTAATACATTAATGTCCAAACAATTTTTAGATTCAATGTTTATAATCATAAAATGATTATTACATTTAACGCACACTTTTAAAATTACATTCATTTGTGTAAAATAAGTTAAACTTGATTACAGTACTGGTATATGCTCATTTTATGAATAGCAAACTTTTAATATTTTTCACGTGTTATATTTGTAATGTGTATGACTAAAACTTATAAAGGTCTAAATAACTAGTGTTGAATAGTTGGATAAAAATTTTTGTGTATAACGCTAAAAATGAATTAAGTATATACATCACTAGTTGACATAATTTGAAATAAGTGAAACCCAATGGTATAGACAATACATAACATCGATAGATAATATGAGCCGGTCGAAAGTATAATGGCCTCTAAAGTTATATGCACTTATTTGAATATATTTTTTATTCTTGAGTCTATTTGTGAGTTTTCCCCTGCTTACAAAATATTCGAATGAATATTAGACACATTAAAAAATATTTGGAGGCCTTTATACTTTCGCTCATATAATGTAATAGTAATAGATAAGTATGACTCATTCAAAAATTGTTTAGGCACAATACTGACTAATAAATATTACCTTTAATATAAAAATAGTTTTTTGTACTAGTTAATATATATAGTATAAATTATGACCAACATATGTGTAAAATAATTACATAGTGTCGTTTCTTATACTCATAAACTGGACTATTCATAAGGTATTGTATCAATCAAAGTTCAGTAGATGAGCATAATAAAGGACACTGAGGAATTTAATTACACATATGATATAGTGTGCATTAGTTGATTTATAACTAATCACTTTAAAGTATTCAAAAACTTTATCTAGTTATTTTAAATGTGACCATAATAAAATAAAATAGATAAAATATGTACATTAATACAAGACGTATTAGTTTGTTAGCACGATAACTATTTTAAATAATGAGCAATAAAATGATAACTGTTTGATTAAACTATCCAAAATTGAGTACATACCAAAATATCATCTAACTTTTGAGGTTCCGACTTGATCCATTCTTTTTCTTTTATCTTATTGATAAAGTGAGTGTCCACGGTAATCAAATTTTTGATTTTATCAAAATTATTTTGCAAGTTCCTTTTGGGTCCCTCCATATTTATTCTGCACCAATTGATGCCTTTAATTAAACAATTTTTTAAAATTACAATATTTTTTAATTTCAAACAATAAATTACCTGCTGCAATTGTTTGTTAAACCTACAACAATAATGAGTGTAGTAACAATATTATGAATAATTATAAAGTTATTACTTTATTGTTTATCTACTTGATAACTGAACTGGAGGATTGGCATCCATATTGTGACATAATGTGGGATTAATTAGCAACCATAATCAGATTGAGGCAACTTGCTCAACTAGTGTTAAATAAACTTATTGTTAATATAAACTTTTTAATGTTAACTGTTAATTAATGTAAACTTGAGTTTTATTAATGGAGTTATATTGTGGCCCGGCATTATTATCACAAATAATGGGTAAAGTTGGTAATGTGATTGGCACAGAAAAGCACCAGGGTTTTGTCAAATTATGATTATAATTGCCATAAAAGCGTATTTCATGAAAATACAACAGTTTAAAGTTGATAATAATTTAATAACATATATTCATCAGAAATTGAGTGACACTGAAAATATGTGTTAAGGTTGGGGGCAAATAGGGTTTATACGTAATTATAAGTAAGGCGGACTTTAATTTTAAATTTCATTGCATCTCATTACAGTACAACACTAGCTGTGGTAGTTATCTCAACTTGGCTATGGCTGTGTATTAGTAATATATGTGTGTTGCTATGAAATTGATATAGCGAAATTTTTATTGTAGACTTCATTGTATAAATATCCTAGTTATTATCAAATACTGTAATAATAATCAAAGAATGTATTTATATATAGTACACCTTGAAGTTAAATAAAAAATTAATTAATTATATAAATTATTTTATTTCTAAAATATATATATTAAATAGATTAATTTAAAAAAAACTTTAATTTTATTTCAATATTAACAAAGTGACCAAAAATGTCAATTTTAAATAAATTTAGTAGCTGCAGTAAAATCGAGCAAACTCAAAAGTTATTAATTAAATTTCTGTATGTGTTTGACGACAAAAAAGGCCAAAATGTGTTGTTTGTGACCAATGATGATCTGGTGTACGGGTTGGGCAGTAATAATGAGGGACAGTTAGGTCTGGGACACAACACACCCATTGAAATGCCCGAAGAGATACCGGAATTAAGACATAAAAACATTCAACAATTATTTAACGGACAAAACTTTGTGCTGGCTATTGATACTACAAACCATGTATACAGCTGGGGCTGTAATACCCATGGCCAATTAGGAACAGGGTCGGTTGCGAATCAAATTTATAGACCTAATCTGATTTCATATTTTCAACTTAACAATCTACAATTAGTGGAGATTAAATGCGGTTTTCAATATACACTTGTTATTACTGCCGACACGAAAGTGTATGGATGGGGTTGTAATCGTTGGGCACAAATTGGTCAGGGTGATAACACGGATAGTTTTATACCTACACCAATGGAAATACTGTTTCCCGATAAATACGAGATAATTAAAGTATTCCCAACTTATCAGCAATCATTTGCTATAACATCAAATGGACTAGTGTATAAATGGGGATATGACAAGTCCGGTAATATTTGCCTAGCTCAGTTAATGCCTAATATAAACAACATTAAAAGTTTAAGCGTTAATCGCCGTAATGGTGTTATTTATATGCTTGCTAACGAAGGTATTATGAATTTATATTATATGGATGAGAATTGTGTAAAAACGATGGAGCACATACACTTTGATGCTCTAGCACATATTTATTCATATAAAAGAAATAATATTCTGATCTCAGCAATGTCCAAGCAAAATAGTTTTTTGTACAAAATACTTAACACTAGTGAAGTATTGCAAACTAAATATAAGACATTTGATGATTACTACATAAATGATCATGCAATGACCAGATTTGCTGTACTAGTTAATAATGAATATAGAGATTTAAAGGAATATAATAATGAGCAAGGTATATTAATATTCACAATTTTGTTACATTTATTATTGTTTAAAATTTTAGTCAATTAATAAATGATTTAATACGTACATACATATAGGACCAATATATGAGCAAGAAGATATAAGATTTAATAAATCATTTGATGTAATTGAAGACATTGATGATGGATCATACGGAAAAATATTTAAAGTTCGAAAAAAGTACAATGATGTAAAATACGCTGTTAAAATGTGCATATTAAAAGGTTGGTAAATAAAAAAAATAAATATAATGTTTTACTTACTTATAATTTATAATCCGTTGCATACAAGACAAACGTTAGTCCTTAATGTATTTAGATTGTGAGTAAGTCATAAGATTAATACTAGTATACTATAGTAAAATATAATATGTACAGTACTACACTTACAACTAGTCTAGCATAAAGCATTAGCCAAGATATTATAATTCGCGATTAAAATACTGACTTCTCGTTACTAAACATTAAGAGATATTAACATGGTATGTTCTACATGGTGCAACAACTATTTTAATCCCCAATTATAATTGTCCTGGCTAATGTTTTACTATAGATCAGTCGTTAGTATATTATTTGTGTACAGTAAACACTTACGTCTGTATAGCCCAATGCTATCCATATAGTCCTGAATTTTAGTTATAATTATATTTATAAAGATGTTGTAGTTTATGATAAATATACATGCGGATAATTTAATAAATGTATTTAATAATTTAAAACTTAGAACTAGATGAAAAACTAAAGCAAAACATTTTGGACGAGACAAGATTCCTATTGGAATTACGTTCAAAATATGTGCTAGAATATTATTATTCATGGATCGAGGCGAATCGCATATACATTCAAATGGAATTATGTGTCGATAATTTGAGGAATGTAATTAAAAAGAAAAAATCCATATTTAGCAAGCAGCATTCAAGAATATCAAAGCGATTCGATATTTTCATAACAATAGATTTATTCACCGAGCTAACCACCTGTCTTGAGTATTTGCATCGAAATGATATAATTCACAGAGATCTTAAACCGAATAATGTATTAATAAATCGCGATGGTGAAATACGGTTATGCGATTTCGGTATATCTAAGAAAATTACGAATAAAAATCTCGAGTCATATATTATGACCGAGAACGTAGTCGTTGGGCAATATCAGGCTCCAGAAGCAATGGGCGATGATTACGATTATAAAGTCGATATTTATAGCTTGGCTATAATTGTGGCCGAAACACTTGGTTTTAATATCACCATGATTCAGAATGGAGAGTGAGTACTGTTATAGCTAAAAACATAAGCTATTAAAATTACTAGTGTACTTTACATTATATAAGTTAAGATTTTAAAAAAATACAATGACAATTTTTCTCATTTGTTTGAAAATCATTTAAAATATTAATATATAATTTAATTTAAAAATTTTAACAATTTTTAAATCACTATTTTAGCATAGTAATAATATTAAAATAAATCAACAAGAATATTCTAAAAACACGACTTATTTTAGGTAACTGACATTGATGATAAATATTAAACATTATTTTACGATAAACTTAATTAGTTAAGCAAAACTAAAATTTTGAAATGATTTACAAAAATATTTATTTAAATAATAAACTAATTAATCAAGTAAATTTTTAAAAATCTTGCGGAACTAATATTAACAAAATAGTCTACAATTATTTTTTATTCACTTGACTTGGTCATTTAAAGGTGGCAACAAATCGAGTCAGACGATGATATTTCAAAAGGTATTTTGCAAAGCATGCAAACAATTTTACTTTCAATGAGTATTAGTATGTATTATGACCAAGACTGGAACCTAAGACCTGGTTGTTCGGAAATATTAACGAAATTATCAGGGTTGTTTATCGAGCCAGATATACAGATAAATGAAAAAGAGTTATTTTCTGATATAATTCAAAGCGAGTGCCAATATTTGTACACGAAATACGTGAAATGCAAACCTATTTGTAATATTGCCAATTTAAATGACAAATATTCAGTTAATGGTAGGTTATGAAATAAGATACTACATGAATTCCCTTGTTATTTTATAAATAATGTTTATATTTAGTATCATGCTCATCGTTTCAATGGACAGAGGAAAAAATAAATAAAATGTTTATTATAACAACTAGAGCAAACTATATTGTCAATGATAAATTATATTCAATCATGCACTTTTGTGTGCCTGGTAAGTTAATAAATAACTTATGAGCATCCTTACTAAATTTTATCATTTTCAACTTACTTAGAAAAAATAAAAGAAATGAATCGTTTAGTCTTTGAAATACGGACAACAATGCGATTACAATCAAATCGTTTACTAAAATATTATCGAGCTTGGATTGAGAATAGTTACCTGTTCATTCAACAGGAACATACTGTGACATTAGAAATTATATTACAACAAAAACAAGCAATTTTTAAAGACCAAGTACAAAGGTTCATGATAATAATAGACTATATTATATCCTGTTATTTATTTCGGGAACTATTAGAATGTATCAAGGTAATATGTTAACAATTATAATTAAAACATCGATTATTAGTTTCACTCTTATATATATAAAGGATTTGTGCCAGATAGAATTTGGCAATATTCGCCGCATACTTTGTCCGGATTGTATTTGGATTACAGGTAATCCACGCGATGGAAGATTTATAAAATTACAGCCATGTCATCCAGGTTATGTAAAAAAGTATAATACATGCGCCGAACCCTTATTAGATGAAGATCGGGTTAATCTACAAATTATTGCAAATGAATTATTTGGATCAATTTTACACAAGTATAGATATTAGCATGATACATTTTAATCTTGATTATTTAAACCTATTACTTTTTATATAGAAAATCAATATTGGCTGAACATGACATTAAAATTTATAATATTGAATATTTTATTGACATTGTGTTGAAAAAGCAATTAAATGAACTGGATATTATTAGCATTATTAAAGAATTTGACAAAGTTATGGCCTATAATAATGGGACTAATTGTTTTGTAATTTCAAAACTAATACAAGAGTTTAAATTGTATATCGACTCAAATGATAATAATTGTAATGATTATAATTTCTTTTATGAATATCTGCTAGAGATTAATCATAAATTGGAATAATTATTAAAACCAAGGTCAGACTTTTAAATATTTGTAATAAAAATTTTAATATTTTTTGGTTAATACAGTATAATAATTTTCTATAATATAACCTAAACAACATTTTTAGTGCAATACACAATTAACTTCTTGGTTATTTTTGTGATTTAAAACTTAAATTATTTTAATAATTAAGTGCATTATATTTATAAAAGTATTATCAAATTGTACATCAACCACTAAAAATGATTAATTTATAATTATGTTTTTATTCAATTACAAATATATTGTTACTATACTTATAAATTATAAGTTATAATACTAAATAAAACTGTAATTTTATATTTGAAATATAAAAAGTGAGAGAAAATAATCAAATTAATAGAAAATGCGGAAAAATCTTATTTCATATTTTACATAATTTTCTAAAAAGTTTCTCAACTTTTAAAATAATTAACACTTTGTTTCGCAAAACTTCAAAATTCAAACATTAATTACACAAAAATCATTTTAATTATTGCTTAACATCTTAGTCCTGATGATGGTCTCAATGTAGACCCAAAATGTTTGGATATTATCTGAAGTTTATTTTTAAACTTATTTTCATTCGATAGACTATTGAAACACAAAAGTCTTAAAACTGTTACTTGATTTTAAATAATAAATATTTATGTTATTTATAAAGATTTTATTATAATATGGTCAGCATACGGAAGCATAGCTTTATGTTTTTCATAATAATTAAAATTTATATTTATTTTTTTATAAATTATAACAATTACTAAATTTTAACCTATTCTTATTTATAAAAATAACTAGTTCATTTAAATAAAAATGCAATGATTTTTATATCAATATTTATTATTAAAGTTCAACATGCAGTTCATTAGTGGTAAAATTATCACGATTAGTTTCAGGCTCCTAGTGTATAAATTTTATTGTTAGTAATTGTTAATAAAAAAATCTTATATTTAAGCTAGTACATTATTATGCATGGGTGTATCAAACGTAACAAAACCAGTATCTAATGTACAATTTGATGGACACTTGGATCCGGTCAGACGTCCGTATATGTGGTCAACGGTCAGCCCGTAGAGCCCTTTTCCATTACTGCACCCGTGCTGGTCATCGGCCAGGTATGTAGTAAACAGGAACAGTACATCTCCACTACAACGGCCCCCGGTTACTGTTCCTGTACTTATTTCGTAAATGTTACCTGCACATTTAATGTTATAATTATAATAAATATGTTATTTGTGTAAATTTACTAATAGCATAGTAATGTTAGTAATTTACAAAATAATTAGTGATGCTAATTTAGATGATAAGTAAATTATGAAGTATATATTATACAGTTTTAAATTAAAACTTTTAATAATTTTATAATGTTTCGTGACACTCATCTACCAAATAAAATAATATTTACTAAAATAGCATTCATTAAAACTAATGTTACCATGTCAATATAGTTGTAAATGTGTCTCAAATAATTCAAAATAAATTAATGATATACAGTATTTTGAATATTTACATACCGTTTAAATAGGTTATATAAACCGAGGTATTACTGATCGGCAATTTCTCTAATGTATTATCATTTAGGATCACATCGTATGCGAAACTAATGTTCAGTGATTTGTATCCATTGCACGTGTATTCAGTGGGAAACGTTAAGTTTCGGAGTTGTATGTAACTGATCTCTGAGCCAGTACATTTTGCTGATGACCATACTGTTATGTTTGACATTGCAAATGGTGTGATAGCTGTAATCAATAATAAAAATATAAGAAATATTAATTGCCTATTTAATAAGAAAAAAAATTAGCTTGCAGAATAATATTAACATAATGATAAAACAAAAATTGTGAAAAATTTTACTTATTAGTTGTCCAACATTAGGCATACCAGTTGCACCAATGCCAATTTGTGTTTCATTAACAGCTAAAAGTAAAATATTTTAAAATCATTAGTAAAAGTATTTAAATATAATAATTACC